CAATTAGAGAGAAAATTTAGGTATTCTACCTTTCTATCTAATTTCAATAAATACTTATAATCTGTCTTTGCCGTGTTGCCACGACTTGAGACTGGTTGGACATTAAAGCTCTGCTCATAAAAATAATGAAGTCGTATCATATGCATAATGTGCTTATTTCAATTTAGATTTTAAATCCGAATCTTTCTGGAGGCGAGTTAAGTAAGTTTAAAATCGAAAAGACGGTATTGCTTCCGTTATGGTCACAGTCCCCTTTCGATTTATAAAAGTTGGTTGATCTCTTTGTCGCAACTTGGTCTTGTCCCGGAGACTTAGTAGAACACATCTAGTCAGAAGTCCACCTAATTGCCGTAATATAATTTTTGTGACAGTTTGCTTATTCGTCCGCCTAGCTCCATGACTCCCAGGTCCCTAAAGTTTTATTGGTTTATTCGAAACGGACATCACTCACTGATAACGTCTTCGTTTGGTTGCCGAAACTCTCCGCCACCACTTTCCTCATTTCGATCCCTTTTCCTGCGGTTAGCGATATATTCCTTATCCACCGTCTCCTTTTTGCTGGTGTTGCTCTATTTTTGTTTTCCCTCAGTTTGCTTAAGCAATGGGCAAAGTTATCGCTAACTCATTGAGGATAAAAATCTAATGAACAGGAGATTGGAGCCGGTAGATTTAGCGATAACTTTGCCTACTCGTTACGCAAACTCGATGAAAACAGGAATAGAGCAACATCAAAAAAAGGAGACGCCTGGATCAGGGACCCATCGCTAACCGGAGGAAAAGGGATCGTGATGAGGAAATTGGGGGGTGGGGAGTTTCGGTAATCAAGAAAAGACGCCAGTGAGTGATGTATCTTTCAAATAAAAGAATACGATTTTGGGGGTCTGGCAATCAGGGAGCTTGGTGGACTAATAAGCAGACCGTCACAAAAATTCGGCGTTATGACCTAAATGTACTAGAAATCAACTTAAGATTCAGCATGCGATTAGAGATAGGCATGAAGGCAATGTCTGATATCTGCAAGCTTGGGAATCAGAGCCTAGGTGCTCTGCTCGTTGAAGCGGCAATGTTCGTGCTTCTAGGGCCTTGAGAATTAGCGCCTGGATTGAAATTAACACAGGGACTGGAACTGAGTGAAATCGGTCAAACAGAAAGATAAGGAACGGATTTACTGGACCATGAGGGGATCCGAATTGTAGGCCCGAGTCGGATTAGCCGATCGAAAGAGAGGGGGTTGGG